ATTTGGATAGATGGCCGTCCACTTTTGCATAAAAAAGACCCTGTTGTTGTATATAGTATAAGCATTCTTCAGTTGATTAACCAGAAATTTGTGAATCAAATGTTATCAAGTGAACTCATAATTTGATTTAAGAATGTCACGTTAGATATAAGTTTCTTGAATATTTTTTTCACTTTTTCAAATGTATATGAATTCAGCCAGGATGCGAATTTTAAAAGCCCCATTTCTCAATGCGATAATTTTTGTTCTTCAGCATTACGTTTTTTGTTTGTTTTCATGATTTCTTGTTCTGTTAAGAAGCGAACAGATTCAGATTAAAAGTCAATCAAGATTATTACGAATATCAAAGGAGTTTTTAATGCTAAGAAGGAACACTAAGTGATTAAATATTTCGACATGTCCATTAAAAAAATCATTGCTACAAAAAGTGACTAGGTACTTACGTATTAACGTAACCAGCTTGGCAAGTTGTTATAGATGAAGAAGTAAAAGTTGCTTATCAAGTTAGTTGTTTTCGCGAATTTCTATAAAAAGATTCCTGAAGTATCGATAATTATTGTAAGTCGGCAAACATTATCAACATATGAAAAGCCAACATATTTTAGCAACTTAAAAGAATTTAATATTTAAATAAGGATTCTGTGACATATATTAAAAAACTAAAACACTTACATTCGTCTCCAAATCTTTCTGTAAATCTTTTTCGCTGTTCCTCTGCATAAGTACGCAGTTATCAGTTTTTGCTTAAGACAAAATCAGAGTATTGCAGAAACTTGACATCGCTCAAACCTCTACAGCAATGGCTATCTACCAAATTTATCTCTTCATTATCTCCCTTTAGAGATTTTGCTTTAAAATTGAGTTTCTGAAGAAATTTTACCGTAGCTTCCTCCATCGCTGGCAAATTCCACAAGTGCATATTTTAGAATTAAGGTATAAAATATCACCATTTATTTACAAAAGCCGTTGGAATACAACAAAAAGAACGCATGCGAAAATGATGATTTTGCCTGATTGAAAGATTCTTATGAGCATGGTGCCTGAAGAATCGTTATGCGTATGGTTTCCAGAGTTTGGCACATACTGAAAATTTGGCGATTTCTACTAAGGTGGTTGCGATAACACGTTAAGTACCAGCTATTAAATGAACATGTTCAGTTTTCAAAGAAATTATAAGCGACTTTTATATCATATTTTCCCTTTTTTCTTCTTGTGGTAGCGTAATGGTAATGTCTCAGGATGGGCGTACGAACTTCCTTAGAACACTCTTTCACTCCACTATTTGATTGGCCAAATGTTTCACTTTGTGATTTATCAACGATTCCTCTGATTCACTTTTTCATTGGTTCATGCTTAAAACTTTTAAGTGCTTCAGATACAACAAGAATTCAGTCAGCAAATGTGACCAACTAATTTCATGTTGTTCATTTTGGACATATTTAATAATATCACTTTCTTTACCATTCATTCATGTCCATTCATTTATGTCGCCACAAGGCTTCAACATTTACATCACCAACGATTTTTCTTAGTATTTTCCTTTTAAAAACAGCCAGATTATTTTCTCGTACCTTAAGTTAAAGTCCGGGTTTCAGAGCAATGTGTAAATATACATCTTATTATAGTGTTATATAAAAGCAATTATGACGATCTATTAAGAATTCATTCCTAAAACACAAAAAGTATCAAAGTATGCAAAAACATACGAATTTTTTTAATATAAGGTGATAATTTCGGACATTTCCTAGAACTAAACTTACAGCAGATATCATTATTTACCATTCAGCTAAAAAAGTAATAGAAATCTAACTTTCTTTTGGGATAAGAGACTTACATAATTACTTTGAATTATGTAAACTAATGTAAGAAATATGGCAAATATTTAATCAAAAACAAATTGACAACGCTGTGTGGTAAGGTGTGTTCATCGGAAAAACTCTGTTTACAAAGCTTCTTGTTTAGCTTACAAAGTTTCATGACGCCGCCCAGCCGGGATAGTGGTTAGCGATGCTGACTGCTATACCGAAGGGCCCGGTTTCGGATCCCGGAGAAGGCATGGATGTTTGTAAATGTATAGTGTCTGTGCAGCATGGGGGCATTCTAAATATGCGGCGAGCCGAAGGCTCTGGAGAGGTTGCTGGTAGGGGAAGAAGGGTTAGAGATTCTCGAAGCCGTCTCCCTGAGTGCTCTTCTTCAAAACTGGGGGTGGAACTGACCAAAGCCATGCTGTCATCTATATGGTGCTCAAGGCTCTTGTCAACGTCAGGCTCACTTCCGTTTCGTGAGCATGCTCTAATGTTACTCTCAGAGAAGTGAGATAAGTCACAAGTTTCATGGCCAAAGTATAGAATAAATTATTGGGACTTTTTATCTCCCACATTTAATGCGAATTAAAATCTTAAGTGGGATTGAGCTATTTAGATGACATAAAAAAGATGTTTATCTCACCTTACAATTTTAGAGTCGGAAGTTTGTTGTTTAGCCTGAAGTCTATCATTTGAAACTTTCGTAATAACTTAAGTTCTTTGTAATGAAAATAATGGTTTTAATTTCTGTTGGTACCGATAACTAAATAAGACAGACATTAGCAAATACCTATTTCCAAAGCTGAACCAATATGTATTAACATCACAATATTATACTTATACTGGCTATTTTAATAACATTCAGTTATAATATGTTTTGCTTAATACAACCCCTCGTTTTAAAAAGGAAACGTCTTGGAGATAGTTACTGTTCATGTCGTTGGTTTCATGCCCTAGCAAGAGTAGAAAATATTTGTTGCAATCCTTATGCATAAGCCATCCAACAAAATAAAGTACAAAGATAATAAATATTTTTTATTAAATAAATGTAGATATCTCCACGTAGCTTATTTTAAAATGAAATAATGCTATAGCAATTTCTTGCCACTATTTGACATTATATTTTATATATAAACTTTTATTTTCCTTATAACTTAGAATTTTTTTTATTTTTGAAATTTTTAAAATATTTTTTATGTTTTCCAAATTTTCATGGCGAACTCGAGATATTAGAGTATAACCTGACGTTTTCGTACAGCAATTTTCTATATTTGTTCATTGCTTTTAATATATTACTAGTTTCAAAATTTTTTGGAAATAGAGACCATAGTAGCCTGAATAGGAGAAAGCTTTTGTATAAAACGATTCCGAAAGTAAAAATTTAAAAAAAAAAAAGAAGAAGAAGAAAGAAGGAAATAAAAGAAAAATGTCTTCTGTATAAAACTTCTCCACATGTGAGCAGAATTTCTATAAGATGTTTCGCAAAAAACACAGTTCTACAATCTTAATACCACACTTTTTAGCCAAATAAAATTGTAAAAAAATAATTCATTCCTTCGTGTGTAATCTTACAGTTCAAATTTTTAGCCATAACTGGATAATTCATGATTCGAATCCTGGCAAAGGGACAGTTAATTTCCCTTCTCACTTAAAAAATTTGATTAATACCTACAAAGTAAATATTGCTGTAAATCTGCAGTTGTAAATTTTATAAATATTGCTCTATTTTTATAGTTCTATGTATTTTTTTTATTTAATATTTTTTTAGCGCATTTTCATATTATAATTTTATTGCGCATTTCCGTTTAATCGAATTTATGGCCACTTATTGTATCTGTAAGTGTTTAACACGTGTATTATGGAGAAATTTTAATTCTGGATCAATCAGTACTCGAATTGTAAAGTTACTTCAATTAGAACCTGAAATATAGGTAGGAATTCTCCTAACAGGAGAGTAAATTTTCTTAAGAAAATTTTATCGCTAAGTTGATGACATTTGGCAATTTCTAGCCAATTTGACGACACTTTAGAAGTTTTCAGAAAATGCATTTTCGTAACCCTATGAAAGATTTTTCTGCAAAACATGCTAAGCCAACTCTATATATACAGCTTCATTGCAGCTGAAAGTTAATCTATTCATTAACTCAGCTAAAGTCGTATAACTATATCGAGCTGTTGGTTTTTTATTACCAGCCCCCCGCCGGCACAGTGGTTAGTGAATCTGACTGCCATACCGAACTGTCCCGGCTCATCACCCGCAGGGGCGTTCTCTTTCAAAATTGGGACGGAACTGCTCGGTAGTGAAGCAAGACTATATGGCTTATGGTACAATCTCTTATTTGCTCAGGATGATCTCAGGATGAGACCTGCTGTTATGCAAATTGTTCACCTGTTTCTAATGGTGAAACTCTGGTATCCTTACCATTTCCGCTTGCATCTTCTTGCTGAATACTGCTTTGCTCTGAAAGTGATTCTGATGATCTCTGTTATTTCTGGTGTGTTAAAACTTTCTCTCTCTTTTTCCCCCTTCTCAAGTTGCTTATAACTGTATACTTTTTATATGAGCTCTTAATCGCTTCAACAAAGTATATATTTCTTTCTGCTAATTAGTTATTAAGGAGATCCTAACAAACCCGTAAAGTGTGACAATACGCCTTATTAAACTTTTTTTTTTTTTTTTTTTTTTTTTTTTTTTTTTTACGAATAACAGATATCACGCGTATTTGGAAAAAAAGTCTTCTTTAATCTCGCAACCGCCGAAGGGTTAAACATACAAATAATGGTATGAGTGATAAATATGATTCTCAAAGACGCATAATTTAAAAGGGAAACAATCGTACCATTACGGAGCCTAAAGCTTTTTCCAAATATGTTTATTAATGTGACTATAAAAGCGATCAACCTGAGGCTTCAATGTATGATAATGAATCCTGTAAAATTCTTACTTGATGAATATAAAAACCAGATTTTTTAGAATTAAATATTGTTTCTGTTTAGAAATCACCGATAGCAGTACATATTACAAACAAATTACGTTTTAGGCAGGCAAACATTTATTGAACTGTTTTAAATTTAATACTTCTAAACTTCTCTCTTTCTCGGCTTGATAATGACACCCGTGAATAATTAGTTTTACTATTTTATATCTCACATATATTTATTTATACTATAGCATATACATAGTATTTTATTATCAACATTAGTATTTTATTATATTATTATTTTTTTATTATTATTAAAAAAAAATAACATTTCCGTGGTTAAAATGTTTAAAAATTTTATTTAAAAAGACATTAAAAGTAAACATTTGATACTGAAGCAAAATTATGAGCAATAACGTGCACTAGATGGCAGCACGATGAGAGGATGTACATATCTAGGGGATGGGTCGGTTACAGACGTGATCAAAAATGACAGCTTGAGAATAAAGTGTTCCATCAACATCGTATCGAATTACACTGCCTCCAACGTCACGAGACTGAAAAAGAAATAGCATTTCTTGGTTCATTTATCAACAAATCAATTAATTTAATCGTAACTCTGATAAACAATTATCAAAGTACAGAAAGAAATTAATTCAGTTTGAGTACGGAAGATTATATTCGCTTTCTTACATGTTAGATTATAAAATTTTCAAGTAGTTTGTTGTATTCAGCTTAAAAATTATGCAGTCTGTAAAACGCGGTCTACAATCGCATAGTTAAAAAAATTAAATTATTACGAGATAGATGAATCTATTCGTGTCGGTTAATAAAGGCAAGAAATCATTTAATTCTGCTGTTATGTTTTCTGTACTTATTGACAGAAAATGAAACATGATATCACAAATGTGTTATGACTGAAAATGAAAAACATTAATGTATTATGAAAAATATTAATGTAATATTACTGTATTATTGACTGAAAATTAAAATTATTAAATCTCAACTAAGTAAACGTGTATAAAAATTTTTGCTTCTTCCTCAAAAAAATAAAAGCGTTTTTTAACTAAGTTTTAATTTTAGCAATTTCAGGCCTCATTGATGCAGCGATAATAAAGAATTCATAAAATTGCTATTCAAATTATTCCCATGATTGTCGATGCAAATTACTAGAACTCCTAATCCTTTGATAATTTCGTGGTTAATTATATCACATAAGAGTAATTTTTTCTATTCAGTTAAAATATATATGTTTTTAAAATCGTTAAGTGTTCACAGAAAATTATTAATTAATATATTATTAAGAAGTACATTCATCATTACGAATTAAGATTTTTCCTCATTAGCTTCTTTCACATTAATTATTTTGCTTCAGGATGTAAGAAACTTGTTCCGTATTCCATATAATCTCCATTCTGACAGGAACAGCTTCCAATATGTCTATTTTCCGGTTACACATGTTAGTCTAGTCATCGAAGGGTCAGAAAGGGGTGTTTTCAATGAAAAATCACAGAAGTTTTTTTTTAACCTGATCTGATGTTTTTGGAGTGCATAATCCGAATTTTATGTTTCCCACCTCGCCAGAGGCCGCCTCGCAACGAAAATCAAACAAAACACAAAATTTTGGCACTGTTTTCAGTTTTTCGTTTATAACTAAGCAAAACGTAAGCTCAGCAATTTTTAAACATTTACTGTAGATAATATCTGTACAAACTTACTGTAAATAAAGTTTCCTAAAATTTACATTACTTAAATGTCGAGCAATCTCTGACGCCGCTATAGCGCGCTGAGAGAAAGAAAGGCCACTTTTTTCCTCTCCGTGAAAAACGGGAAAAAATGCTATTCGAATTGTGCGGATTTGCCCTAATATCAACATTATATGCTACGTGGTATGCCTAGTTCACATTAATGGAATTAACGAACATCAGTGAGGTACTTAGTTCTTACTAATTATGAGAATTCGCGCTAATACTCTCCTTGCTACATCTGCAAATGGTGAATGAAACTTGAATGTTTTGAGTGAAATGATGCTACAGCAGACTGATTTTGTACTCTAGATTTCGTACTAATCAGATAAAGGCAGACTTAGAAATGATGTGAAACAGCATTGCATTCAATTTATATATGCCAAATTTTAAAACGCACCAATATGTAAATTCACATATATCCTAGGAAATTTTGAATAAAAATCTCTGATTGTTTGCAAGTGTGCCTAGAAATACATCTCCTTTAAGATGATGTTAAAAATTTTATAGGTTATAATAACAAACAACGTATAATACAAAACGCTTTTCTAAAAATTTATAAAAATATTCAAAAATACAAATTTTAAAATTTAACCATAACAAAATGTGCGTATTATATTTGGATTAAGAATAAATTTAGAATTCTGGGAGAAGGCATCAAGTAAGTTTAATAAAAATGAGTTATTAATAAATATATATCAAATTGAGTTAACACTGAGGAGCTTAAATTTTGAGAGCTAATTTTTTAAAAACTACTCGTGCGATTTTTACAAAACTTGGCAGTTTGGCTTAATTTGAGTCGCGGAATCGAAATATGGATGTCATTTCAGGAAAAGTCCAATTCTGTGTCAAAATACCTGTATTAGAACAATGCTGTATATAAATCTAATACATATCCTAAGTCGCGCTTTCGAGACATGAAAAACGCAAGTTGAATTTCGTCAATCGGCCCAGTAGAAAAGGGAATATACAACTATTTTTTTTTTTTTTTTTTTTTTTTTTTTTTTTTTTTCCCGCAGTGTACGTATGCCTCACAAGCAAACGCATCAATACACTTTCTCGAAGTTTGTAGGTTTAATCTTAGCAAGATGTTAAAAAAAAATGTTTTTCCTACTACAAATGCATACATTATTTTTCAACAGTAATACATAACTAAATAGTAGCTTTTTCTCAAAAACGAAGCATAAAACTAAAGGTAAGAAGAAATGAAGAATAAATATTAAGATAAGATTTTCGTTAAATTCCTTAATAAAACGGGATTAAAATATCATTATACTTAGGATAAATATGTAAACTACAAAGCCTAACATTTTTAGAAACATTAAATAATAATTTAACATTTATGATAAATTAATCAACTAACTAAATTGATTTTACGCCAGTAATTAAGCAATTAAATTAGAAATATAAAATATTTAATTAACTTTGCAAAATGTTAGCTGAATTAGATGAAGTATGTAAATTAAATTAGTCTTAAAATGTTCTTTCCTTAATGTCTGGTTATCCACCAATAACCGAATGATTAATTCCTCGAAGTAATGGCAATTTCACCTCAAAGCTGCCTAGTTGAAGAGATTTAGGGGCTTTATCATATGTTAGTTAAATGACAGAATTACTGAATTTAACGTTTTAAATTCATATTAATTAAGTTCAGTTTTACTTAAGCTGCACGAAAATATTTCTTGGTAGCTCTGGAATATTATTCTCTCATTAATTAATGTAATTTTAGAATCTTCATTAACACCATTAAGTGGGAATGTCATATAAAGATGGTCTAATGCCAAAACCACGCCTTGTGTAAATCAGTAATAATAATAACTATTATAGCATTAATATTTTAATACATATTTCTAATCAAAATGTTTTCTTCAACTCATTTATTTAATCAGAATGTGCATTTTTCATGACTTGAGAAGACTACTCACCTGCCGATACTTTTAAATCGTCTTACAGATATTTTAATTACCTTTTAACTTATGACTTTACAACACCGACTTCGCAAATTATTTCTTAATAAGATAACCTAGAAAACTCGTTACCTTGGAGACAACAGGAATAAGATATCTTTTATAATATAAACGAAGTAAAATTGATTTGAGATTTTAATTTCCAAAATTCTAAATTCTGAAATTTTATTTACTTATTTCTGAATTTCATCCTCAAAAAGTGCATAAAACAAGGATGAGAAGCCACTCCTCGAGCAACGATAACAAAACAAGTTTCTTTCACTGAATGTGCCCAAAATGTTTAGACATGATAAGGACATGTGACCTAGAAGCGAAAAATTACGACTTTCCAAGGAAGTTCCGAATTTTTTTCAATGTTATCAAGTAAATGCTTAGAAAAACAGTTTATCTTTCCTCCAATTAGAGACTATGCCTTTTCTGTTACATATTTAATGTTTTCTTCCCATTAATCACATTTAATGATTTCTTCCCATTAATCACACGAAAATCTTGGGCGTTAAAAGAAAGACATAAATTGCAAAAGTTTACTTCGGGGCTGACATCCACAGGATAACCGTCTTTCTTGCAAACGAAGTACATCTTGTGAGAATCCATGTCTGTGACAACGTCGAAATTGGGAGTAGAGGTGGAAAAGACCTTCGCTTTTTTCCAATTATAAAAGCTGTAAGAACCAAAATATGAATTTATCGATATACAAACTTGGCCAGATACACTGTGAACACAATGCATTCACAATGCATCTATGCAAGTGAATATAACAAACTGTTGAAATATTTTCTGCGGACAAAAGAGAAAACATACACAATAAAGCATTGTGATACATTTATTAAGATCATTTCAGAAAGTACAACTTAACTATTCTTTAACGCTATATTTCAGCATCATTTAATATTTTGTATTAGTTTTATTTGCAATAACAAAGGTTAAATATACATTTTCGATTCAGCCTTACATTATGAGGTTTACACAATTATTACGATTTTTTTTTGATGCGGGAGAAGGGAAAAATGATCTTCACCAGCACTCGAACCATGGACCCCTCGAATACGCTTCGAGTGTGCTGACCATGAAGGCATACTAATAAGGCGGGATAAATACCTTATAGGTTAATAATTAGATTAATATTACAAACTAGCATTACTAATTCTAACTAAATTCTAATACTAACTAAATTCATTTCCAACTAGCAGTTAATCTAAATCAATTCAGAATAATTAGTTGTACATATTTTACAACAATGAAGATTTATTTTGGGGATGAATAAATGTGATATTTTCAGTCAGCGCTTCTCTTGTTGTGATCTAGGTTAGTATATTCACTTTATTGTATTAAATAATTTCAGTAAATGCAAATAAACTTTCAGTTTTCCAGTATTAATATGGTTTACAGCTTGTTCTTGAATTTCATTACTTTTAATATTACAACCTTTATAAAACTGCAAGGAAAATCTAAAGTTCTTATAAAATTACGAAACCAAGAATTTAAAAAAAATCTGAAAGCTTTCAGGTGTTATATTACGCCCCAACGGGCCTCCCTCGCCCATTAGTAGACTCATACACGTTTCGACAGCATTTGTGCTAATGCCATATTGTACTAAAAATATTTTAAAACACAATATCTTTAGAATTTCCAATAGATAGTCTCGCGCACTGGAGATAAAATTGTTTTATTCCCAACAGTGTTGCCACTACTCGCTTTAAAATTGTTGAGCTTTTTAATCGAAAATTCATTAAAGGTTTATAAAATATGATGTAAGAAATAAAACAAATTCTAAGTACCCATATTCGAAAGGAGAACTATATTATTCAAAATTTGATGTCTGTAGGTACAGTTTTTTTTTTTTTTTTTTTTTTTTTTTTTTTTACGGTGCTAGAAACATGCATATATTCACGCAGATTATTTAACATAAAATGCCGTTTTAAGACTAATAACCCTTTTGCGCTAAAGAAAAAAACGTACATGTGTTCTCGAATATTTTGCAAGTTTATGTGGCAATACGATTCGTCACGTATTTATGAAGGTCATAGCATAGTGTACCATATGCAGAGTGTACCATATGCAGAATAATTTAGCACAAACCAGAAATGAATAAATATTCCATGCATACTTGACAGAATGACACAAAACGCAGGAAATACTTAAAGTGTGGATTACATTCTGCGTTGCCCTGTTGGAAAATAGTATGTGCTCCATGGTGAAATAACAGCGCAGATTTGCGATACAGATTATATTATCGTTCAGAGGTGAAATTCTGGTGTCCCACCCAGTTCTACCTGCATCTGTTAAGAATATAATCACTTTCAGATCTATGGCATCAGCTGTAAAGATTATAACCATTATCAGACATGCGGAATGTATCGTAGGCAGTCACGGAACTTCTCAGACTCATCTCTTTTCATCGAGAATTTAGTTTACGATGCTCCACATTAGCAGATCCGATTAAGAGGCTATGTGCCAATATCACAAGCACTAAACTGCTTTTTCTTTTTCTTGCTAGGATAATGCTGAACTCTTGCCTATCATCATTCGATTGAAAGCAAAAGGAAGGACTCATCTTCTTTAAGCATAATCATCTTCCATTGCTGACAGATTCAACTTATTCTGGTTAGATGTTACTGAAGCCAATTTTTTCATCGATTCAGTGATGGCGGAAGAAAATTTGTCTGTTAGAAGAATGTTTATCGAGGAATAAATTCGGCTGAATTTTAGACGAAACCTCATTATCTAGGTATTTTAGCATTTCTTAAAGTTGAGAGCTGCCCCTATCGGGCTTACATGAAGCCTCCACTTAAGATAGAAAATAAGAAACTAACCTAATGCTAACTAAACTAAAACCAGCCGAAGCAGCACAGCAATAACTAGGTAGTACTATCACCGGCGAATACTAGCAGGCACGTAAAAATACAGCCGAACGTAAAGATCAGACTTGAAGCAATGACCTGGCCGAAGGCAGAACATGCTGTACTAAGACCTTCAAAGCTTTTCTACTAAAGTGACCGAAACTTCTCTTTAAATACTGGTTCGGCCTCATTTACGCAAAATGCGATCCTGAAAACTCATTCTGGTAGGGAAACTAGAGAAGAAAGAAAAGATGTTCAAAATTAAAAGTAACTATTAGGAACTTAAAATAACCCCTACAAACTTTTATACGTTTTTTACGACCTTTTTTATTATTGTTGTAATATAGGTAACATATTTTTATAACTGATTGACAATGCAAAGTTAGCATAAGTTTAAAATTTTCATTTAACACAAAATTAGGCAAAAACTATTTTTTTATGTATTAAAAAATCGCTTTTATAGGGATTTTGACAAAGTTTAATTACTAAATGCAAAAAGATTTAAATCCATCGTCAAACTTACCTTAAATCTGTTTCAGTCGGTACGATCTTTTTCTCTCCGCTAAAGTAGAGTTCCCAATCTTCTGTTCGTAATTTAAGAGCATAATCAATATAAGATGAAATTTCGTCTCCTTTTTCATTTTCATCTCGTATAAATATAATAGTCTGAAAAAAGGATGCAACATTTGATTAATAACATCCTTATTATCCTTGTAGCCTGCAGATGGCAGCACCAAAACAGTGAATTTATTCTAAAGTGTGTGAATCATCAAAATTATTTTGTATTCTTTTATATGCTCTGAAACATGCTTCATATGCAATCAAACTGAAAATTTATTCATAATACTTGGAATTTCATGAACTGAAAAACAAAATGCATGCATAATAAATAATTAAATAAGTATAGGATTTTTAAGTAAATGGGTATAAAAGTTGAATAAGTTATTAATTTATACGAGAAGGGAGAAAGGATTCGCTACTTCAGGTATGATTTTATAGGGATACACGTATTTTAGGATAAAATCAAGTTACCTTTTTGAGCTCTTACTGGGTAATTTTTTTAATACATTTTCCCATTATCTATTTCGTCACAACAGATCTACTGAAGAACACGGTACACATTCAAAATTCTTAGCATTTTAAATGATCCGAGTTCTCTGCTTTTGCTTTTTCTTTTATCTCTTTCTATTAGGTTTGCGTTTGCTGCAATAAATTAAAAATCTTAATCCTTTCTTAACACAGAAATTAATTGTTCATAAAATGTCCTGAATTAGCTTTTCTAAAATACAGTAATTCTACCTAAACCAGTATCTCTCAACTGCTTTACTCTTGCAAAATCCTTAAACTCAAAACTTTGTTTCAGGAACATACGAAAGAAATTTCAAACCAATGTATGTAACATTTTTGTATTTGATATGTTAAAACAAAACGAGAAATTTATTATCAGGACTTAATATATATATATATATGAACTGAAAGCTGAATCGAAAGAAGAAACTGAAGGAAGCCATGTGCATTATAAGCAGCAGTACAGAAATAAATTTTAGATCTACATGATGCATAAGAACGTAATAAGTTAGTTAAACTACTTGAAATTGTGTTACTGGAAACATAACTGCATAAGTCGACAGAAAAATAAGCATCAGAATATGAAGAAAATGAGAAAATCTGATGAACTGAAGAATTCAAAAGTGAAATAGTAAAAAGTGATGAAGAAATAAATCCTTTTACTAACAGAAACTATCTACGTGCGCTGACTGATATTTATTAATTATTAAAGCATGATTACCTGATCAAAAGTTATCAGTATTTCTTAGCGTAAAGATTGAAACTCATGTAATTTAGAGAATTAAAACAGAATCAATTAATAATTCCAATAAAAAATTTAAAGTTTTATACCTCTCCACTGCGTTATTCATAAAACTGTGAAAACTGAAGCGAGATATACAAAATTTGATTTAAAAAAAGTTTGCTGATGAAAAATAATACATGAATTTATAGCTATGAAAAATCGAAAAATTCCTATATGTCTTATATATATAAATTTTAACTTGTAGTATCATGTCTATAGTCAAAAATGCTGTAAGCAAACTACATATAATAACAGGCGCTATTAGAGAAACTAGATACAGTTAAATACTTTAAAGACCAATGTTGCAAACTTTTGATGTTAACGCTTTCTTAACCCTGAGATTTTCTTGACAAATTTATTACAAGTTTAAAAGTTTAAAATTAAATTTTAAAAATTTATAGAGCTGGCTCATCAAATCTAGGAAGATATTAAATTTCTTTAAAAATGGAATTAATTCTTTCGAGCCAAAAACAAGATGAAACACAAAAAGAGTGTTGGAGCTGGAAGGAGAAATGTTGAAAGCTACTAGCTTAGCTGTATGTTTCGGTGTTAGTTCAACAGATTTCATTAAGTTGCATAAGCTGCGATTTATAAATTTAAATTTACAAGTCTCATACTGCTAATAAAAAATTATGATGAAACTAGAGGTTGTAACTGTATTACTTAAGAAGATTGAATGAAACTATATCTCATGTAAAGAACAGCATTGTACTGTTGCACGTTTTTCTTAGACTCAAATATGATAGTAACTGAAACAAAACAAAAGGATTAAGGAGAGTACTGTTTTGAGAAAACAGAAGGATGGTTTTAAGAAGGATTGTTTTAAAAAAAAACAAAAGGATTTTTTTAAAGAGAACAAAAAGATCACATCAAAAAATAATATTCAAATTGCTTTTCAATCTGAGAATAATAAAACTAAAGTTTTTTTCAAAAGAATCCTTTAACTATTTTTATTATTCAATTAATCATCAAAATGTTTTCAGTAAAAATCTTAAACCAAAAGTCTTCGGCCTTTTAAAATGTTAAAATGTTTCTTCACGTCAAAATTATGTAAAAAATTAAAAATATTCTTCTTTCAGAATTCATATTTTTAATGAACAAATTTATTTTTTTGGAAGTTAAAATAAGAAGAAATATTTCAATTATGATTATTTTCAGTTTTGACAAAAAAAAGCATGAAAATTTAATTACATTTCTTTTAATGGTCTTTTAATTTTTAAAAACTAAATCTGCTAAAATACAGAATTTTAAAAAATAAACTCAAATATTATAATTTTGTCATTAACGCAGAAAACACCTATTAAATGTTTTCTTCGTACGTAATGTATAATAATAACTTTATAAAAAGGATACAGAAGAATGAATAACAGTAAAATTGTTTACTTATCATTCTTAAAACAAATCACAGTAATGAAATTTTAATTCTAGCCATCTTTCCGATATATTGCAAGTGAATATAACCTTATATTAATCATATATCGTTGCATCCTTAGATTCCCTTTGGGACTGGCAACGGCCATTGAGAATGATTTATCATGATGAAGGATAAAATACAATTTTCTGTTCACACTATGTATATAAAATGTGCAATGATTTTACAGTATTTTAAAGGTTGTTATTGAACCTTGTTTCATGCAGTCAAATCTTTTAGCGAAAAAATATTAATATTTCTAACAACTGTAAAGAGTCCGCTAGGTTACTTGAAATGGGCAAAGCAGAGCTTAAATTGAGCCTGAACCCATAGGAACCCGGTAATTTTTATTTTGGGGATAAATTGTAATTTCATTCGGAGTGCATCAGGACAATAAATAAGAGAGCTGCGGTACTTTTTTAATGTAACTGAATTGCAATTCCAGTATAAAATTCTTTTTACCTCAAAAATTTTATTTTAATAATAATTAAACCTTAGAAATTGAATCTTAACTTCTGAATTCATGCCTATCGTTTTCCAGGAAATAAAACCTTTGATGGGAATCAAAATTTTGAAGGAAAAAAAGACCCTGCCCATATGTCAAAGGATTATTCTCCAGGAAATTTATGCAAGCGGGTAAATTTTTCATTCTCAAAAATACCAGAAGGAATCATCCTGGTCGTGCATGGCAAACGTAAATGATTGGCATGGAAGAGAGCACCTGCAGACATTTTGGAATCATGTAACCAAATATGGGGGAGGAAAATTGCATCTATACACAACTTTTCGTTTGTTCGTTGGTTTGTTTCGTTTGTTTTGTTACAGATTAATCCTCGGATTCGAGAGAAATATTTTCCCCCTTGTCCACATTCTGCTTGACGAATAGAACTATGTCAGCAGGAGATCGCGGTCAAAAAGTGTTTTTCATACCTATATATCTCTCTTAAAATTTCCTTCCGTACTATTGTATTGTTTCTAAGTCTCCGCCTATTCTCATTAGTTATGCTTTTACCGTTTCATCTTTTACTGGTGTGCTGGAAAAAGAATGGTCCTCATGTCTATCACCCATTAAAGTAATACATTATATTGTGTATTTAGGACTTAAATTCAGCCGGAGCCCTAAATGAGACAAAATCTGGTATTTTATTTTATTACTTAACAATTTATCATTAATTTAATTAATTATTAAATTTTTAATTACTTCTTTATATTTTCTTTAATTATTTTGAGTATAATTTGTTTTACTACTTTAATTATTTATCATTTACTTATTTTTGTTCTTTCCTGACGGCCTTCCACAGCGTTCTGGTGCTTCTAATTTTTAGCAACTAAGCCGTGGGACAAAACCTACTAGGGCTTTCTGTTTATGAGGGTCGGGAAGGAATTTCTAAGAGAAACTGGTTCGTGTTTACGTTACACATGGGGAAAACCATGAATGCAGTAATTAAAGGTACTACTCTTGTTTCACGCAGTTTGCGAAGTTGTTTTCAAAATACACCCAAACTCAATGCCTTTTCGACTAAAACCTTTGTGATTTGCTTTAATCGGCCAGCTTCTAAAATCCGTTTCAGATCTGTCGATGTAAAACGACTTTGATGTACAGACTTTTGATGGTAACGCTTTCTTAACCCTGAGATTTTCTTGAGAGATTTATTACAAGTTTAAAATTAAATTTTAAAAACTTATAGAGCTGGCTTATCAAATCTAGGAAGATATTAAATTTCTTTAAAAATGGAATTAATTATTTCGAGCCAAAACAAGAAAAAAGATTTTTTGAAAAGATGTAAAGCTCAATGAGAATCGTTTCCAAGAAATTATTTCTGCTCCAGAAATACAAAGGAATATTTCCTACAGACTGGTTGTTCTATTATGTTTTTTACACAAAAAACAGCTGCCAGCGTTATTTTTTCTGCAGCGGAGAAAAATATTGCGGCTACGCAGCAAATTGCTGAATGCTACTGTTGTGGCTATGAACCTCCCATTCAAACTATTGGAAGAAAAATGTTTCTCGGAAATTTTCTTATTCCGCCATTCGTTGTTAGATAGGATAAGGCCATAAAAAAACCAGTGATAACTCAGACAGCAAACGCATGATGTTACGACTATAGATATGAGCTGTAAATGATATATTTCTGAAAAAGAAGGTAAAGGGAAGACTCAAATGCTGTTTACAAATATTATTATTTTTAACCGCTGACCGACTGTTATATGGCGCCCCCTTATAGCACTTGGAGTTTGAATTGCCCCCTTATACAACTCCAGAGCTCATTGGGAGATAGTAACACCCACTTTGATAATCACTGCTTTAAATGATAATTATTTACTGAGCATTTTAAGTCAGTTTATATATCGTAAAAATCAGCATATTAATTAATAGATTGATATGAAACATATTAATTACCGTGTATCCTATTTATATTATTGAAATCAGTAAACATTTAAAAGGCACATTCATAAATTAACAGTAAGTCTAAATTTGCTTGGCTAAAAAAGAATAAATAAATAGATTCTTAATGGTTGAAATTCTGTTGTACTAAAGTAAAAAATGAGGCTTACTAATAAACGGCCCATTAAATTATCTTCTTCTCTTTCGGCAAGAGCTTGCATCAAAGGTTCCGAAATATCTTTGTCTTTACTACACAGCTTTCTGAAAAGAAAGTTGAGTACATTAAACCAAGTCAAGTCTAAAAATGATTACTTCTTGCTTAAATATTTCGACGATTACCACTTAATGTTACATCTTATATCCCATTATTATATGTACTGTTATTTTCTTTGCTAAATGCATAGATAAGCCATAGATTGTTGTAATTGATATTCACATTCTGCTAAAGTTTGGAATTTTAATCATGAAAGGAAGAGTGCTGAGAATAAAGAAGTTAATTGAGATTTAAAACTATCATTTACAGATGTCGATGATAGAAATCTATGTATTAATGCCCAAACTAATACGTCAAAAGAACAGACGTGGGTAAAATATTTAAGAATGTTGATTGTGCTGCTACAGATCATGATTCACTCACTCGAAAGAAAAGAGAGAGGGAGAAAGATTACCACTTCCAAATGATGGTGAGGGAAAAAATGCAAGTTTTCCTACAGCAAATGTTTTGCTTGTACATGGCCACATCCATAAGGTACACTGGGTAAACACTCACTCTCCACCTACATCGACAGCTCTACCCGACGAGACGGCTCCTGACCTAAACTGTCCTGTAGGACAACAAACAGGATAATGCCATCCTACGGAAGGAAGAAACCACTATCAGCGTACCACAGCGAAGTGCTGAGTGGCGGATCAGATGTGGTAAATTAAACGATAGTCATAAGAAAATGAAAGTTTTTGTTATGAAGACTATTGTGCCTTGTGCAGTAGGTGCTTCGTACGATTAGAAAAAGAAAAATGATTTGGGATGAAAACTATGTCTTGAAGGGAAAATGTAAAATGCATTGATATGAAAGTTAGGCATGGTTGACAGAACACACAGTCTTCACGTACATCAAGAGGACTCACAGTCTTCACCACTTACATCGGAAGGACATCACAGTCTTTGCCCACTTTCTTGGTTTCTACCGTAAGATTGTATATTGTACTTTTTTTTTTTTTTTTTTTTTTTTTTTTTTTTTTTTTTTGAGTGGTGTGTTCATTTAGTTTTGTTTGGCTCATTGAAACGTGTCTATATTTGTACTAACTCTTTGCCTCTTTCCCTAAAAACAAAAATAAGATTTAGCAAGGTAAATTAAGCTTTAAGAGTTTGATAGTTTGGATCTTCTCCCGTGATATTTTGGGTCTTATCCCAGCTTTTAGTAAAGATACATGTAAGATTTTATGTTTATCTTTCTTATTATTAAATTTAACTTTGTAAATGACGCTGCTATGGCGAACGCAGATTGATTAAGTCAATCACGTGACTACTTGTGTTTTGGAGTCGAGAGTAGGTGTTCTATTTATGTTAACTAAATTCGCAACACATTTTTTTTTTTTTTTTTGCTTAAAAAATAAAATCGCATTTTAATACTGTCCATTTGCTGTTTGTTATTAATCCGCATCGCATCACTACACTCATATTAAATCTTCATACAAAGAAGGTTTGAAGTAGCTAGTTTTCCCTCATACTGTTACAGATAATGTAACAATGTCCTGTTTAATATGGAAATTATTGGTCTCAGATATTGTCAAAACAATATGATTTAGGTTGTTTGCACTCGATATAAGGAGTAGGTCATTCAGTGGAATAGAATAAATGCTGTTTTCTGTTGAGCAGAAAAGTATGGGGTGTGCTTTATTTTTCTGTCATTTACCAAAAGCGTTTTAACTCAAATATTTATCCTTTGGGGTTTGCTTTAAACTTCATTTATAGCTAAACTATCTAGAAAACAAAAAACTATCTCCCTGAAGATGCCATTGAAATTTTGAAAGAATTTGACAAGAATACAAAATTTATGGAAATGTAACTGTCGAAAAATTATAATATTATTGTGTCAACGCTGAAAGTAAATGTTGAAGAAGAAATGTAGAAACAAACTTAAATGTAAAGAAGGAAATTAGACGAAAGAACAACAATTTGTGGAAAAATCTACATCAAAGAAGTTGCGGGTTCAAGGAGAAATATCTGGAGGTTCACATCAGTTTTTCTAAAGTTTTTCGCACACTACAATGCATCATTCATCAAATATACTAGAAAATAGACCTATGCTCACAGAAAAACACAAGAAATATCATTGAAGGTGAAATTGAAGTGCGATTGTTTTTGACTGAATTGCTGTATAAATTTAAATTACGTCATAGAACATCATACGATATCATAAACAGAGAATCCCTAGACCTCTCAGTCGGATTATTTGAAGACTGAAGAATTTATCCAAATACGTATATGGCTATCATCTAAAGACCTGTTCCTTGTTTCCTGTCGAAATACTTACTAACGAAGGCGATGTCTTTATTTATGTGAATGTCAGAAATACCAAGATGCTTAGAAAATGTTTGTGGTATATACTGAAGAAAAAAAATGCATGATTTTTAATTACTTCTAGAATGCCTGAAGTAAAACAAGGCATGAAGAGGAAAAACTAATGTTTTACAAAAAAAAATTGTATTTTTTAAATTAATTTTTTTTAAATCTTATGCTATTTGATTCTCGTTATTTTAGAAATAAAAATTATTAAAACAATTATTATGTAAATTATTCAAAACAATGGTACAATGATAAACGTGTGCAAAGCAATGTATCATAAATTAAAATTTCAGTTATACATCCTTCTCATTTATATATCTTTTCTAAACGGTCCCATTGAAAGACGTATGAATTGTGCTTTACTGTAGTTTCTCTTTTAATGTATACAGTTCTCAAATACATAGTAGTCTGGCTTATAAAATATTTTTTGAAAGAAATGCAGTTCAAATAAATAAAATCAAATTAAAGAAAAACTACATTAATATAAATATACTTAAGATACACAGTTTGAATGAATAAGTAAAAATTTTAACATAATTGTATAGAAAAATATAATTCAAACAATTAAAATAAAATTTTTTAAAAGGGAAAAATTACCTAAAAAACAATTATGATATAAAAGTGTAACATAAAAATATTTGAAAGTTTTAAATTATGTCTTTTTACCGCTTATTTACAATGAAAAGAAAAGTGAAATAGGATAACATAACTTAAGAATTAAGCGCCAAGAGTAAGTAAATTATTTTTGGCGTAAACTAAAAACAGCCCTCCAAGATAAATTTTGCAATTTTTTCGTAATTCTATCCCCAAATTTTACAAAATTTGGTAATTAGGCATAATTTGAGTCGTAAAATGGAAATATGGGAAACAACTGGAATGCCATTTCAGAACAAGTCCGATTTTCTGTTAAATCTATTATAATCTCTTTCGAGACACAAAAGCGGTCTATTGGCCCTGTAGACCAGGAAGTGTAGAGCTAATGCATATACTAAAACAGGCAAATTGACAACCTTGTATTCAAGGGTATCGATAACCTTGTAATTGACAACCTTGATTGCTCGAAATTGATTGGGATTTTACAAAATCTACTCCGAATACAAAGTTGTCGATTTGCCTGTTTTATTTTCCACTTCGGCGTTTTTCTCTTGAGTCTTAATGCGTAAATTGCTGCATGTATGCGTAGTAATTTTTATACATATCAAAATATAACTTACCAGTATGGATTCACTCTTTTAAAATAATTCTACTTTAATTAAACTTAGGAGATAATATAATCAATTAATCAATATTGTTTAGGAAATAAATTATTATTAACTAACTTTGCAGCAATTGCGCAAGTAGTAGTAACTTGTTTTCGCACTAAATAAATTTAAGATCATACAACATATATATATATATAAGATTTATTAATTTTTAACTTCCTCATGAAGCAATAAAATATACATAAATGAAAATGTAAAATGAATTTTAAAAAAATGATAAATAGATTGAAAAAATCTGTAATTAAACGAACACAAATATTCTTAAAAATGCTAAAATAAATTAAATCTTCCTTTAGTCATATTACTAAATTTATACAAGACATTTAATTTTAACCTCCCCAAAACAATATATTTTTGAATTTATACAAGACGATTTTAATTTTAATACCCCCAGCCACCCAAAAATTGTTTTAAAATCCGTTTTCAACGCTTTCTTACCTATTCGTATATATACATCGTGTCGACAAAGGTATTTACTCGTCTTTTATTTCAGCTGTCGTTAGTCGTAGATAGAGTATACTTCCAATTGCAAAATCTTTTAAATGACGCAAATATTCATGTCTGGGCATTTTTAAATTTTAAAGAAATCAGTTTTATAAATATTGCGAAATCTAACTTTTTGTGTGTTGTTCCGATCTCTTTACTTAATATGAAGAGAAATTTTGTTCTGGTAAGGAAAAGTAAAGCACAAAACTTTTGAATCCCTTACGATAAAAACTGTCCGAGATTTTTCACATTACAACCGGAGACCATATGCAGATGCCATATATAAATTGAAGAGCGAAATATCTGCATTTGTACGGCACTACAAATTAAATATCTTTAAAATGAGATTTCTGATGTTAGTAAGATGTTAAGTAACGAGGAATTCTATTCAGATTATTGTGAAAAATACACAATACGAAACTACTGAATTTCGAGAAACTACGGTTTCATTTTATCAGACTGCTTTTATTTATTTCGAAATACGGACAAAAAAGTATTTCAGGTGATAGAAACGTACAGCTGGGTCATACTAAATGAAATCTCTTCTTGGAGTCAAGTTGAAAAAAACCTTTTTGTTAATTAATAAAAAATACCAAATCATAAATTATTGGAAATTGATATGTGTGAGGAATATGCTTACCTTAAACAATATATCACAGAAGAAAAAATATTGGAATGGTCAAAAAATAAATGTGCCCAGTGTAGAAATGGTTGGAAATGACTGCATATTTTAATTAGATTACTTGTTCAAATGTTTTAAAATTGTTAGAGGTTTTCTTTTGTCTTCCTTGCACTAATGCTGCAGCTGAGCAAGTATTTAGCATTGTGAACAGTTTTGGGATTAGTGATTAGACACAGCTTAAAGTGGACACTTTTGAAGGATATGTTAAACACCAAAATTGCGCAGACTTTTAAAAGAAGATCAAAAAAATAAAAAGACGTTCTAAGAAATATTCATGCTTCTGAGATATATAAGTCTACTTCAAAATAATTTAGAAGGGTTATAAATTTATTATTTTGCTTCAAAATTAATACTGCATTTTGATTTATTCTATATTCATTAAAAATATTATATATTACTATTAAAAAAAGAAAACAAAAATTATTTATTTTGATTTAAATCAAAATAAATTAATATATATTATCATATATTGTTTTACACCTTACTCTATATTGTTGTTTACATATCTAACTTAATTATAATTTCCTTTTAGATTATTACAAATACATATATTTTAAACAGTTTAACATTCCGAAAGGCTTTATGTTCTTCTTTTAATTATGACTTATTATTAGGAACACAATCACCAAAACGTTTAGAGTAAAATATAAAACAAGAAAATATATTTACTCAATGCAGACCGGGTAAACACAAAAAAAATCCTCTTTGAGTATATTTTATATGTCTATGTTTCAGAAATCGCTTTAAAATGAAGCAAATTTCAGATTAATAAAAGCGCAGAAGATTCATCTGTATGTTTTTGCAAAAATTCATTTGATAAAAGCTTCAGGTTTCCTGGGAAATGTCAGTTTCTCTCTCCCCTCCCTTTCAAGCATCGCTTATTGTTCTGTGCTACAAGGAAGAAGCAAAAAATTAAAAGCGCTACTTACAGTGCCTTTTCCTTTCTTTTTGTGAATTCAGCCTTTTTCTCAGCTTTCCTTCTTACAAACAGGTCTTTTGGAATGATTCTTTTACTCGAATGATATCCTAAGGCTAATAAATCCCTGCAAAGTGCTTTATCCTAAAATTAAATGTAAATAAACCATATTTGTTAATTTAATTTAAAATTAATAACAAAATTTAATATTTTGATAACGACACAGGTGGTTAGAATAAAAGCACGAAACGGTAAATTGTTCCTATCTATCTGAGATTAACATCAGAATTTTAACAATTTTCTCTTAAAGAAATGTGTATTGTATTTCACTTCCGACCAGCGAAGAAACTGTATTTGCGTGTTTTATTTCTGATTTAATACATTACTTAATAATTAATTCCTTTTATTTGAAAATTGGCACTGAAAAGCAATTACAGCAATCTTTATAAAAAATACGTATATACTGTAGCTTAAAATAGAATTTTAAGATAATAATTTGATTTTAGTTCATTAGCGACTATTGGAATTCTTCAGAAAAGGTACGAATTCAAAATTAACCGAAGTGTCTTCTTACTGACTCAATCATGTCAACTATTCAAAGAATAGTAGTTCTAGCGTTAAGTAATATTAAATCTTAACATGCAGTCGATTCAAGCAGTCCTATGCATTTCTAATAGGCACAAGAAAATTACAATGTTAGAATTGAATAATTCAGTAACGTACGACAGTTTAGTCATGAACTATTCCGTAATATTTTAAACTAGTATAATATTAATTGTAAAGTCAATCACTTCGGTAGCAATAATTTCGTAAGATGATTCTATATACCATATTTTCCCGCGTATAAAGCGCATCTATAATTTCAAGCTGCATTTTTTAATTTTTAGGTATATTCGTGATATCACGCGCACCGATACATGTGCAGTGCTCTTATCTTGTGAGGTCACTTATTCGAAGATTTGTCCTAGCCTTTCAAACAACGATATACAGAATAGCGATAAGGGAAGCAACATGTGTGTGGGTTAAATGCTTGAGGGAGTAAATATTTTCTACAAATAGAGTGGATTGTATTCAATGCAGATGTCCAAAAGAATGCTATTGTAGGGTTTCGAGAAAAGCGGTATCTAATTTGGAGTAAGAATGCACTTGCAACCTGAAAGAATTCGTAGAATTACGAGTTTAGTCATTTGAAGCCGTGATTTTAAAGTGAAAATCGAAGGCTTTAGTAAATTGCATTTGCTTTAGTTGAAATAAAGTTCATCTAACCTTCCTTTTAGAAGTAAATATCGCTCTCTGAAAAGAAACAAGCACAATGTTGGTTTTAAATTCAAAGTCATTCGTTTTGTGAAAGGAAATGGAAATCGTGCTTCACCAACGGTGTTTGGTGTTTTAGAGAAAAATGGAACGGATGGAATGGATGATGATGATTATTTATTTATGAATCAGAGTAGCAATGATGGTGAAAATGAAACAAAATTTGATTATTTGTCTGAAGATTTAACGGAAGACGAAGATTACGAACTTTTCATGTTATCCGATAATGGAAATATTTATGGTATATCATTTCTTTTAAAGAAACCGCATTTAGGTACATATAGAAATCTAATTTTTTATGCTCATTCCTTATTTTTAAATCTATTATTTTTATACCCAACGTATAACGCGCACCCGTAAATTTAAATCGCATTTTTTTGTATTGAAAGTGCGCTTTATACGCTGGAAAATACGGTATATTTCTTAACATGCTATTTTTGTATAATATTTTTTACTCATGATTACTGGACACAAAACTCAAGAACGAGAGCAATTGTTGAATAATTTTCAAAATTTAAAAAAAACTGTGCCTCAAAAATAACAAATTTAGCGTCAGTGATTAGCTAATGACCATTTCTAAGCAACGAATTCCCACACGTCCTGCAGATCTATTGAAGAGTTAAAACAATTAAGAAGAAAAAAGTCACCGAATTTTTGAATCCTCATAATTGCTTTGTTATTATTTGGATCATGTACTACTTTTTGGACTTAATATATGTTTTCGTTCTGTGAACGATTAAAACTAATGACCACTTTTCAGTATCAAATTTCAGACTTACATAGGTCTACTGAAATGCTAAAACAATTAACGAGAGTCTAATCGTCTATGTTAGAGAAAGTAAAAATTTGTCTCTATAACATCGTATTACACATTCAAGACATTTCGGAAGCATAACTCTTTAGAACAGATTTTCTGCTTTGTCACACGATATGAAACAGCCAATCACCGCGGATCGTTTTGGGATTACCATATAAAAGTAAAACTAGTTCCACATTACAAATGATAGATGATGACACGGAAGTCGATGCTGATAGCTGATTGGTTGTTGAAAACGAACAACTTAAATTTCCTTGCGAAAGAAAGCAAAACTTTTTGCATCTTCCTTTCAGTGCTAAAGCAGGTAGAAAATTGTTTGAAATATTTGTTCATCTGAAATAAATAAATGGGTGATACCAGCCTTATATGGATTGTGAAATGCATGCCTTGTGGACTTTGATATACTTTCTTTAAGATCGACTTGGTCGACGAGAACTTTGATACGCTTTATATTTTCATTTTGGTGTGACACAGAGAGATTTTTGTTCGTCAGTACAACTTTTCAATATCACTTTGCATCCTTGTTAAAGCGCCACGATATAAACTTTTAAATCTAGAGATTAACTCTACCCATTTCGGCGACTAAGTGACGTGACTGCTTTTACAAGGAAATACATGTGCCAAGTGGCACTAATCTACAAATTTTCGAAATGTTGGATTTTGTGAAATCCACGAACTTTTTCCTGCAGAACAGCACATCGGAACTAATAACTATTTATGTATGTTTAAGCATACAACATTATTTGCGAAATATCTCATTCCTGATATAATAAAAACAATTTATTATATACTTAAGGAAATCAGAAAAAAGTGGCTCAGTCAAAAAAGCAATTGCATAATTGCTTTTTTGACTATTGCATAATAATGAAACTGAAAAAATATCTAATTGTTTAATAATTACGATTCGAAAATTAAACATGGGAGTATATTGTAAACAATCAGCTTTCATGTTGACCAAATTCAACTATGAAATGACCGGTAGCATGGCCATCTGTTGCCATTTGACAAGACATTAAATCTATAAATTTTCTTTCGAATTAAAATTGTAAATTTCTGAAGGAACTGAAAGATTTTCACGTACTTCTTTATTACATATGTTTTGTATCTGTATATTATAATTTGTAATATGTCTAATACTCCTTGATTATATATTTTTTATATCTGTAAATATTGTAATTTGTAATACATCTGATCTAATTTAAAATTTTTGAAGCATTTGCACAGCATTTATACCACTACAAAATGTGTTTCTTACGACATATGTTACATACTTCGTTACACAGTATTATTACTCTGTGCCGAAGTATGTAATATATGAGATTTTAACATTCTCAAGAGGAGATTCTCAGTCGACATTCAGCGTATTGGTATAACTCGAACTAAAAGGTGTCTCCGCTACCTTTTCGTTTATAGGGCTTGATAACGTTACCAGTCAATTGAATGCTGCCTTTTCAAAGATGAAAAATACTTGAATACTCTTTTTTATAAGATCCTGGATGTGAAATATAAAAAAGTCGGAAAACACTACTGCATTTAAAGAAATTTACTAATTTTGAAATACTAATTAATACTAATTTAGTAATTAAATAGTTTATACTGAATACGAAACGACCGGATGGTTATTCGGTAGAGTAATAAAGCTACCGTTCAAGTATCCCCATTTCAAATTCGGACTAAAGATGGCCAAACTTGCTCGCTTTAGAAATCCGCAGCTGTTAGCAATTGTTTCGTAAAGTATATCACTAGAAAAAACATCGACGAAATTTAGTCATTTTTGACATACTGTTGGAAATTGGGAATTGCAGGTACAATTCGCATTTACCTGATTCAGATTTAATCAATATTATGGAGTACTGATGTAAGATGGTGAGAGTAAATTAGTTTTTAAGCGTGCAAGCTCGCCATCCATGAGGCGAAAAGAAAGAACTGGCGAAGTATGTGCCACCGTCTAGAGCATGGAGGTAGGAAAGGGAGGAGGGGCCATTCCGCGCTAGAAGTGAAGCACTGCTTTGAAGCTTGGGTCACCAGACGGGGTGTTCTTTGTTTACATTCAGAAGCTCGCTTGACAAGATTCTGATAGTATTTCGACACACGACAGTTCCATAGAAATCGAAAAAGGGACACTCTCGCATGAAAGAAACATTCATAGTGTTATGGATAATAGCAATTTGTATAGTTTACTGACATTTACGCAAAAATCACATCTTGGTTATTTTTTGATAACTAACAACAGCGATTTTGATTATGAATTTGTTTATAAAATTCTAAGCTGTTGCACTACAAAAATATAGATTTTAAGAAATTGCTAAAAAGATCTGTCAAAATTTATTTTCTAGAAGATTTGAAAAGTTTGAAACTTGATGGCTAAATGTAAATATAAAATTATGTATGTTAAAATATTTGTAATTAGGCACATAGGTCAGATTAAGTTTTTATTAAATAGAGTAACGCATGCAAGGGCTATCTGCCTAAAGAGAGATGCCATCGTGGAGGAATTTTGAAGAAAAACTGACCTTTGAGTGGGTATTAAAAATAATACTTATAATTTTCATTCAAATTATATTCATATATATTTTTTATGTAAAAACTTTCGGGTGTATGCTAAATTAGTGTAAATTACTTTACACGAAAAATATAATGAATGCACAGAAATTAAAGATTTGCACATGCCGGAAATGATAAATAGGAAATATGTATGGGTATTTATATGCATTGCTTGCAAAAAGCATGTATCTGCCTTTGACAAAATACTTAAATATTCATTAAATTATTTATAAATGTATTTGAAATGAAGAATTTATTCACTATAAACAACTGTGAAAGTACTGTGAAGAAATCTAATGGTTAAATGTATCTAATTTATAATGATTATAAATGTTTCTAAATATATAATAACCTTAATATTGAATTGTAAACATAAATTGAAATCCTGTTGACAAATACGTTATAAAACTATTTAAGCAAGAATTGTTCGTATTGGAAAGCAATCTGTTTTAAAAGGTATTGTTAAAGC